CCCCAAAACCCCAAAACCCCAAAACCCCCTAAGCAAGGTGGTTTCTTAGAATTATTCAAAACAAGCTTCAAAAGGATTTGTAATTAAATTGTAATTTAAAATCTAAATATAATTAATAGCTAAAGATGTAAGCCATAAAGTCCCAGCTAACCTAAATTTATGCTGAATTGGTCCACAGTTTAAGGACTTAGCTTTAATACAGCACTCATCTCTCCTAGGTTTCTCAGTCAGAAATTGTAAATAGCACTACTGGTCTAGACTCTGCTAGTTGCTATGTAACTGGAACCACTAGAGAACGATATGACTGTTGCTCTGAAAAGTCTCAGAACACCTGCTATGCTGTCTCTTTCATATAATTTTCACTAACTCTACTCCTTTTAATTGGATTTTGTCTGACTTTATGGAAAAGTTCTTGGTTAAGAAACTAGCTGCTAATGATCTGTGTAATCAGTGGCTCTATCTTTTTCTGTTTCTGTAAGTCCCTCCCCCCCTCCATTATAGAGTTTCATCTTTCATAATAGTGAGGGCTTTGTATTTTTCAATATTTGCATACCCCTAGACCCAATTAGAAACATTTTTCGTAATAAAAGGAGCACCAATTATTGAATTCATGCTCGTCCTCTCTGCTCTACTTGCATACATGTAATTCATTCTTGTACATTTTAAACTTTAATTTAGGTACTATCTACAGCAGAGATTCTTAGAGAGTGAGAAAATCGGATACTCTGTGGTGGAGTATAAGTAGAAAATCGATGTTATGTATCTGATTAGCCTTCCTCTAACCATCCTAGCTTATTCTTGCATTCTAATCTTTTGCATTGCTCAAGGCTAAATGTAATCATTAATACTAATTCTAATCTTTCTTCATTAGGCAGCCATAAGATGTTGTGATGACTTTAATACTGGGCCTATACTTCATTGGGTTCTTATATGTGCCAACTGAGTTATACCAGACAATCAAGGAGACAATGCCCAAAGTTGCCGCTTACATTAAAAAGTACATCTTAGCTTTAATCATCCTGAATGAGTTCCAAATATTTACTCGCATGATATTCATCTCCATAAATGATATTGCTGAGACGAGTAAGATCAACTCCCAGAATGATGAATCAGACAAGTGGCCTGGACTAATCCTAGGTCAGTCACTTAGTGAAATTACCTCAGTGCTAATCATATTATCTTCAGTTTTCATAGTTTACAAAATTGAGTCCATTATCGATGCCTATTACTTTCACGGAAGTAAGGTTATATTTAAATATCCTTTTAGATCATTATAAGAGAGTTAGCACTTCTGATTTGAATGAAAGTGTGGACAATATTTACAGGCTTTTGAAAAATCTTTAGGATTAATTAGTTGAGAAGGAAGATCAGCTCTAGACTATCAAAGAGGATCTGCACCTAGTAGATTTTGAGTATTTCAACCCTAATCTTAAGAAATCTATAGTACTATTTCACTTTTATAAGTTTTTAAAAATATAGAGAAAATTTGAGGATTCTTTATTTGAGTCTATATGTAAAACTAAGAGAGCTCAGAGAAGAAAATTAAAGATCTAAGCAAAGGTCAATCAATTTAATGACTAAATGGAAAAGGCTGATAAATAGTCGATTCCCTAAATGGACAGGCTCATGAAATTGCTCCATGAGATCAGAGATTCAATAGGAACTGAGGTTGAGGACAGACTACATTAAGTTATTGAAGAACTCTAGATTCTTGAGAACAGCTGGAACTTGATACAAAGATTTATAAAATAAGATGATGAGCAGATATCAGATTATACCCAGCAAAATCTGGCAACATTACAAATGAATATGATACCACTCAATCAAATCCTAGCCAACTTGAAGTAGATCTACGATCGAATTCTACTAAATCCTTTCGTAAACAAAGTCTACTTCGACAAGCTTACCATTATTATGAGTAGAGATTTACAGGCTCTTGATAGGATCTAGAAAGAAGTGATAGATTGCTATGAAGGTAAACTTGCAGACCACTCGCCTAGAGAACTTAGAAAAATAAATGAAGTAGTGGAGAAATCACTATTTTTTCAATAGAAAATACAGGTCGAGGAAGTCAACATGCTTAAGGATTGCAACATTTTGTTTCAATTTGAAGCTATATCCTCAGCAATTAAAAATATACTAGACGAACTAAAGCTGAATATTGATTAAGAGATTGCTAGTTTTAAGAAAACTATGGCTGAATATGATGAAAACTATCAAAAAGTACTAATTGATCTTAAGGTATAGATTGAATGTGAAGTCATCTATAAACTTGACAAGGAATATGAGAATTGCATCCTTTAAAAAAAGGATATAGACTTTTACAATATGTGCCCTATCATCGAATCCTTTGAGGTAGTTATGATGAAAACACTCTAAGCAGAGTAGGATTCCTTTAATATTACAAACCGCTATCTCTAAATCAAATAAATAATAGATGTTAACAATAAGAAACTTGACTTGCATTCTAGTCTTTAAGCCTCAATTAAGATTCTATAAAATGAGATACATTCTAATGGCTATATTCTTTTGACAAAACTTAATAAATTCTTAGTAAACTACGAAGAAGTAATAAAGTCAGATGACCCATAGTTAAAGCAACTTAGAATAATTCATACTACTTATTAGCAAACTGTCTTGGATTAAGTAAGGACTCAGGTAGCTGCTATTAGTTCTGATATTATCGATGTCAAGCCAATGAAATTGAATTAGGTTTAAGAGAGGTAAAATTAGTTTGAAAGTTTAAAAACTAAGTACGACTAAGGAACTAAGAAATTTAGCACTGATATTAATCTTTAAGTCAAAGTATTGATCAACTAGATAATATCCATTAGGAAGCATATAGATCTCAGACCTCTCAGGTCTTAGATACAGTAGTTAGATGGTAAAATCTCAGAAAGTGTTATCTTAAAGTAATAATACGAAGCTTTTGTGCTCAGTGCTGAAACAATACTGCTTTAAGATCTAGCTCACACTACACCTCAAACAGATAATGACATAGTAGATCATTTGACTGAGGTTTATAACTTTAAATTTCGAACTCAAGACATTTTAAGGAATCTATCTGCCTTTCAAGATAAGCTAAGTAATTTAAGATTTGAAGAAACACATCAGAAAGAGTACACTAGAGTGTACTTTGACTGCTTTAATATGATAATGATATATTCTGAGCTTGTTGATACGATTAGGAAAGGAACACTGAGAGACTTGTTCTTTGAATCATCTTTTGGTAATAAGATAGAGGTGTTTGAAACTATTAAAAGCTATGCTCAAAAGATTAAGACTGTCAAGTATTCTGATAAAAATTCTATAGAATATACTCAATAACTTCAAACTGAATTCGTAGCAGTTGCAAAGGAATTCGATAATTATGTTTACTAGAATTCTATGATGGATTACATTTAATCTTTAAATATCAAGCAAATTTATGCTATTGACTAATAAACACTCAAAGATGTCAACTAATTTATCTAAAACATATATGAAAAGCATCAAATGTAAGAATAAGACTAAGAACTACTGAATGATTATGAGTCTAGTCTTGAGCACCTGTCAGCTCAGTTTAAGTTAGTTAAATCTTCTCACGGGCTTTTGACTTAGTAAATTTAGCAATTTAGGAATAATGGGTAGCCAGAGAAAATTCAAATATTTATTGAAGACCTGATCAAAGTAAAAGCTGCGGTGGAACAGTATGTAAAATCATAACTTTAATATGAAGGACTCATTAATTAGTGTGAACTGCTATAATAAAGAATAAAGGAGCTTCATGAAACTATAATGATTCAATCCTACTACTTCGAGCAATAGTCTCAGGAAACTTCCAAATAAGATTCAGACTAGCAAGATTATGAAGATCAATAAAACTGAGAATCAATTATTGATCTAATTATCATTAGTGCATTTCCTATCAAATTCTCGAATTAAAAACAATTAATTGAACTATTACAATAATATAACTTCAATCTTAATTTATTAATGCTTTGAAACTAACTTAATTTGTTTTATACTAGAAATGTTTTAACTGGGGTTTTGGGGTTTTGGGG